GCTTACTTCCGTAACCTCAACCCCTACAACAACAGCCGAAATCCCTGGTTTCGGGAGTTCTGGGAGCAGAAGTTCAAGTGCAGCTTCCACACACAGGACTGTAGCTGGTACTCCCTCAAGACAGGCAAGTTTGAGCCAGAGTCCAAGATCACGTTTGTGGTCAATGCTGTCTATGCCATGGCTCGCTCTCTACACAACATGCACCAGACGCTGTGCCCAAATGCCACCAAGCTCTGTGACGCCATGAAGCCCGTCAATGGCAAGAGGCTCTACAAAGACTTTATACTCAATGTTAATTTTGACGGTGAGTCCAGAGGTGGAGGCAGGGTTTTGCTGCTTAACTGGAAAGAGGTGGGTGAAGGGGCAGGGAAGAGGAAGGAGACCCAAATTTGACCAAAGTCCCTCCAGCCTGCCCACACCTTGTGCTGTGGGTTGTGGTTGTCCCAGGATGCCAACAGCCCACCATCACACTTGTGAGGCAATCAAGGCCTTCTGTCCTCAGTGTAGAGAAGCTGGTGAGCAACTCCGTCCTGCTCACTTGCAAGCTTTGTGGTGTATTCACAGTTCAGGGATGAAACTGGAGGGATACCCTTGATCAGGGAGCCACACAGTTCAGGATGAATTAGAAGCGTGTCCTCTGTGATGAGGGCCACGGAGGCTGCAAAATCCCCCACTTTGCTCCTGCAGAGCTGGCTGGGGCTGCTGAGCTCTCAGGAGTGTGGGGAGGTCGTTGTCCACCTTTGCTTTCTCGCTCCTAACGTGTGCGCAGGCAGCAAGTATGAGAGTGAAGGCAAGGTATAGGATGGACATTTGCCTGTGGCCGTGGTGGGACATGACCCTTTGAAAGACCCCTGCCTCCATGCTGGGAGTGAGTGCTGTCCACCCCATGGCAGTGACCTTCTCCCCTTCTCCTCCCTCCAGCTCCATTCAGGCCAGCAGACACCAAGAGCGTTGTTCGATTTGACCGCTATGGTGATGGGATCGGGCGCTACAACATCTTCAACTATCACCACATGGACGGGCGGTATCGGTATCAGAAGGTGGGCTACTGGGCTGAGGGGCTCATCCTCAACACCAGCCTCATCCCATGGGCTGAGATCTCCATCCCTGTGTCCCAGTGCAGCGACCCCTGCAAGAAGAACGAGATCAAGAGCATGCAGCCCGGAGACATATGCTGCTGGATCTGCATCCCCTGCCAGCCCTACGAGTACTTGCTGGATGAGTTCACCTGTATGGACTGTGGTCTCGGTTACTGGCCCAACGAGACCCTGAATGGCTGCTATGAGTTGCCCCAGGAGTACATCCGCTGGAAGGACGTCTGGGCCATTGGTCCTGTCACTATCTCTTGCCTGGGTTTTATCTCCACCCTCTTTGTTTTTGGAGTCTTCATGAAGAACAACAACACCCCCATTGTGAAGGCCTCCGGCCGGGAGCTCTGCTACATTCTCCTGACCGGAGTCCTCATGTGCTACAGCATGACTTTCATCTTCATCGCCAAGCCCTCCACCGAGGTGTGCACGCTCCGGCGCCTGGGGCTGGGCACGTCCTTCGCCGTCTGCTATTCGGCCCTCCTGACCAAGACGAACCGCATCGCCAGGATCTTCAGCGGGGTGAAGGAGGGGGTCCAGCGCCCCCGCTTCATAAGCCCCACCTCGCAGGTGGTCATCTGCATGGCCCTCATCTCTTGCCAGCTGATCATCGTCATCATCTGGCTGCTGGTGGAGACACCTGGCACAGGCAAGGAGACTGAGCCTGACAAGAGGTACATCGTCACCCTCAAGTGCAACAACCGTGACTCCAACATGCTCATTTCGCTCACCTACAATGTCCTCTTGATTGTCCTCTGCACGGTCTATGCCTTCAAGACACGGAAATGCCCCGAAAACTTCAATGAAGCCAAGTTCATCGGGTTCACCATGTACACAACCTGCATCATCTGGCTGGCCTTCCTGCCTATCTTCTATGTCACCTCCAGTGACTACCGAGTAAGAGTGAAAGTCGGGCGGGGGGGACTCTGATAGGGCTTAATCTGAGCAGTTCTGGCAATTTGGGCCCTGTGGGGTGCGTGGCTAGGAGATATATGAGCCCAGGGAAGGGTATTTGGCCATAGACCTGGTGATGGTCATCCCTACATTGGGCCACTTGGGACCAGGTAAAAGGTAGTAAAAGGTAGCTAAAGGTCTGTTGCTGAGGGGGCAATGAGTCCTGGAGAGGAGACATGCACCCCCACACCTCAACAATCTGTTTGCCTGGGTGGGGGTGGGGAACAGCTCTGAGAATTCCAGAGATCCCCTGACCTGACTATGGAGGAGTGATTGGCATCTTTCAGCTCCATAGTGTGTGCAGGCATGAGACAGCCCCTGGCCCATCTGGACACTCCCCCCCCAGGGCCAGCATGGTCCCTGGGGAGCCGAGCAGTGCCAGGGACCAGGGAGCATGGAGTGCACCCTGCAGCACCTCAGCCTCCCTGGCAAGGGTGTCCAGACACATTCTTGCCAGGCCTGGAGGACTTGGTGAGGGAGGCTGCAGCTGGGGCTTCCAGAGAAGCCATGCACCAGTTGGTGGGAGTGGGCACTGGGGTGGGGGATGCTGGGCTCTGGTCCCAGGCACTGCCCCAAAGTAGCACGCTGGCAAGGCCTAGGGCTCAGGCTGAACCCACTTTGCAGAGGCAGCATGTCCTCACCCAGGCAGTGCCCATCCTCTGCCTGTGGTCCACCCTGACAGAGGAACCTGGGGTGGGGTGGGATGTTCCCATGGGGTGCAGGCAGCAGCCTCTGCCCGGTGGGGCTGGCTAGGGCCACAGCAACAGCTTCATCCTGCCCCACTTGGGGCAGAGGGCTGGTGGTAGGATGACCTGATACCCACCCCTGTCTCCAGGTCCAGACCACTACCATGTGCATCTCCGTGAGCCTCAGTGGCACCGTGGTCCTCGGCTGCCTCTTCACACCCAAGCTCCATATCATACTCTTCCAGCCACAGAAGAACGTGGCCAGTCACCGCGTGGGCACCGCCCGGTTCAGCGTGGCAGCCGCCAGCTCCAGCCAGTCCCATGGTGAGCACGGTGGGGCTGGGGGAGGGCTGGGGGGCAGCACTCCCTTCCTGGTGGGGGGGGTTGGAGCACCCTAGCACAGGCTCCTGAAGGAAAGTGGGGTGCAGAGTGGATCATGGCTGGCAATAGGGGGATGGAGGATGCTGGGAGGGAACATCCCCGCCTCAACCCTTCATCTCCCGTGGCCGTAAGCCCCAAGGCTGCAGCATGGCCTGGCAGGAGTACTGCTCCTGGGGGCTTGTCATTGCCCCAGGGGCATATGGCCACCCTGGGCACCCACCGCCCCAGCCCCGGGTGATATGGCCACCTATCATCACTCTGGATGGACACGGCTACCCCAGGCACTCTCCACCTCAGCCCTGGGGGATGCAGCTCCCAAGGCACCTGTCACCCATGACAGCGGGTTGCCCCTTGCGGGGGTGGTGCTGCCAGACCCCAACTTACCCCTGACTGCTGACCTCCCCTCCAGGCTCAGCCTCACAGTTTGTGCCCACGGTGTGCAACGGCCGTGAGGTGGTGGACTCCACGACGTCATCCTTGTGAAGGACGGGGGCCCAGGCCCTGGTGCTGCCATGCCGCAGCCCGGCTCTCTCCCCAGGGAGACAGTGCCCATGGCATGGCCCGCTCAGGTGCCAGAGGCTCAGCCCCTGCCCCAGCACGAGCTGCACATCCCACACACCGGGCCACGGTACGTGCTACTCTTCCCTTGCACTGAGCCACGTTACACAGTCCCTGTCCCCTGCACTGGGCTCTGGTGAACACCCTCCACCCCTTGCACTGAGCCATGGTGAACATTTCCCCATCCCTTGCACTGAGCCATGGTGAATGTCCCCAGTCCCTCGAAGTGAGCCATGGTGTACATCCCCTTGTCACCTGCACTGTGCCGTGGTGAACATCCCTCCGTCACCTGCACTGAGCCGTGGTGCACGTCTCCCTTGCCCCTGTGCTGGACCATGGTGCACATCCCTCCAAGTCACCCTAACTGAGCCGTAGTGCACGT